TGAGGTACAAATAGGGAGTCTATTCAAGAATTTGTAGCTGAAGATAATATTACAGAAAATAATGGTGAAAATGATACTACTAATTTGGCAGGAAACAATGTTGGAAATGAGATTGCTAATTTGGTAGAAAATGTTGGTGCTAATGAGGTTGATGATGATACTTGTAATGAGACAGAAAACAATGATGAAAATGAGGTTGGTGATGATATTGCTAATTTGGCATAAGATAGTGATGCAAATGAAGTTGAAAATGATGCTCGAAATATTGGTGAAGATATTAAAAATGATAAAGAGAAAGATAGTGAAGATAGTGATGAAAATGATATGCATCATGCAAACAGTGAATATAACAATGATGGATGTTTTAGTAGTGATCCTAGTAGCTTTGATGAAGAAATAGAGGCTAATGATACATTTGAGAATAATGAGTTAGTGGTCTTAAGAAAACAGAAAGGCCTATTACTACATAACCTATTTTAGGGAGGTTAATTGAAAATATTATTTTAGAAGAGGATGTAGTGATGGATGATGGTGATCGACATAGTGTTTATAAATTCGATGAAAAAGTAAAACATTATAAAATGTTCAATAAAGAGGTTGATATGAAGAATCTGTAGTTAAAGGTTGGATTAAAATTTATTAATGGTATTGTTTATAGAAGGGTATTGAAAGAGTATTGTGTTTGGAAAGGTTATGACTATAAATTTAGACGGAATGATGGAGATAAAATTAGTGTTGTTTATGTCAAGGACTATGGATAAAAAATATAAGCATCTAGGTTGAGAGAGGATCATGCTTTTCAAATAAAGACTTTTCAACCAAAGCATAATTGCTCGAGACAGTTTAAAATTCACCAAGTCACTCCATTTTATTTGGTTAAAAAGTTTTTTTATAATTTGAATGATAAATCAAATTGGAAAACTACAAAGATAATGAGAAAGATTTTTAGAGAATTAAAGGTTGAAGTCAGTTTTCCGTAAGTATATAAAGCTAAGAGAAATGCTAGAAAAATTATAGAAGGGGATAACAAGTTATAATAATCGAAGTTGTTTGATTATTGTGACATGATCTGATAGACTAATCCTAATAGCTCTGCGTTTATAAAAATGGAAAGTCAGAATTTTGTTATAGCCACTGGTGTTCCTAGATCCTTTATTCTTATGTTTGAAATGATATTCATCATGTTTGATATACAGAAAAAATGATTCATGTTGGATACAAAAGGTTTATAAGATTGGATTGTTGTCATTTAAAAGATCATTTTGAAAGAAAATTACTAAGTGTTGTTGCTAGAGATGGGAATAATAATATTTTCCCTCTTTATTCTATAGTTGTTGAACAACAAAATAAAAAAAACTTGGTCTTGGTTCCTGAATTTGTTATATGAAGAACTTGGGAGTTTCACTAAACTAGAATTAGAGTTTATATATGACCAACAAAAGGTATTAATTGTCATTATATTTAGTTTCTTTATATAATGTTTATATATGACCAACAAAAGGTATTAATCTGTTAAGCTTTTTTTTTTTATAGGGTTTAGACTAAACATTTAAAGAAGTGTATCCTTAAGTTGAACATAGGTTCTATTTGAAGCATTTATATACAAATTTCAAACTTCACTTTAAGGAAGAAGAGTATAAACAAGTTCTTTGAAAGGCAACAAGTGTGGGGTTAGTAAAAGAATAAGAGAAAGCTATGTTGGTGCTACAAGAGCTTGACATAACAGTGATAACACATGGTTAGTGAGTAGATTAAATTCAAAAACTTAGGCAATGTCTTATTTTAACTCTAGAATAAAGCTTGATTTAGTAATGAATAATCTTAGTAAATCTTTCAATGTTTATTTATTAAAAGCTAGAGATTTGCTTATCCTTAGCATGTTGAAATGGATAAGAAAAAATTGATAAAAAGGTTCCATTCTAAGAAGGTTGGTATGAAGTCTTACAATGGTTCTTTATGTCTAGATATTCAAGACAAGCTTAAGCAGATTGAAAAAGACTCTTTTTACTTGCTTTTCTATTCATGTTGGTAGATTTATATATGAAGTTGAATGTGGTATAATATCTCATGTTGTGAACTTATCTTAATAGAGTTATACTGGCAGGGTTTGAGATTTGATTGAAATTCCCTGTAAACATGTAGTTTATGTTACTTACAGTACTAAAGAGAGACTAGAATCTTATGTTCATTCTTGCTATTCTAAGGAGACATGTATGACTACGTATAATGCCATTATTAATCCTATTCTAGGACAATATCAATAGATTGTAGGTAGTAACCCTACTCTTGCCCCTTTAATCATATTTAGACCATTAGGCAGACTAAGAAAGTTACAAATGAGAGCATTTGATAAACCACAAAATTATTATAAAATGTCATGTAAGAACAAGCCAATTAGATGTGGTAACTGTGATCAGATTAGACAAAATGTTAGATGTTGTAAGGTATCAGTGGTTGGAGTAACTCCATGGCAAAAAAAAAAATGAGGTTGAAGGGATTAAACAAAATTCTTCCTCAGTTTACCAATCTTTAAGTAATTTGCTTCTTTAATTTAAAATGATCTTCATATATTAAATTTAACATGAATGAGGTGTATTTTACAGGTTGATTAAAGGAAAAATATTACATCTTCTTCAAGAATAAATACACCTATAACTAAAGGTAGATCTAGAGAAAAATCTGTCACTAATGCTGCTGCAATTTAGTTATAGTCAAATACTACTAAAAGAATAGATGCTAGTAAAAGTTCAAAAAGAAAAGCATTTGGTATTAATTGTTAATCTGGTTGGAATGTTGGACAAAAAAATGTTGAAAATGTTGGCAGAAGAAGAGATGATGCTAGAAATATTGGTAGAGAAAAAATTGATGTTGGAAATGTTAGCTCATGAGTAGGTCATATTAGAATATTGGCTCATGAAGAGGTCTACTAGAAATGTTGGCAAAAAATGAGGTCAAGTTAGGGCCAAAGTTGCCCCAATCAAAAAAAAAAAGTAAAAGTAATACCTCAAGCTATACTGATGGTCAAGTTGTTAATTTTCAAGCATTTAATGATCCAAATGTTAGCAACCAAACAACCAGTAACCCAGCAATTGGTAGCCAAGCAACCAGTAGCCAAGGTGTTTGAGTACAATCTGGAAAAGCTTACATATGCTATTTTAGGATAATGCATTGAATCTATGAAATTTAATTTTTTTTTTGTTATAAACTGATGTGATGTATAGGCTTTTTATTTTGATGTATAGGTTTGTGAGATGTATATGCCTTTTATTATGCATTTTATGTTAGTCTTATAAACTAGTCGCTTGATTCTATTTAATAGGACTAATGATGACATGTTTTTTGTTCAATAGGAATATGGTACAACAGATAGCCTTATTTTTTTCAATAGAATGGCTTTTGTTTTCTACAAGTTGTATTTTAGATTACAATTGCATAAATGGATGTGGTCATTTTTACAATTCTGACATTATGAAAAGGCTGCTTTCAAGGTTATTTTTTGCAATAGGAATGTGGCTTTTATTTACAAGGCTATTTTTTGCAATAGGAATGCTAGCTTTATGTGGGCCTTATTTTCTTGAACCACTTTAAGAATTTACCTACTTGGTTAAAAGTAATATAATGCTAATTTGCAGAATAAAAAAATTAGTAACAAAAGCCATTACACAGCACGTTTAACAAAAGGTAAACTTTCATTCCATCTTAAATAACAAGTTCACATTAACATTTCATTAAACACTTGGTACTGCTGCACACTACACCTTATAAACATTTCAATTTTACATACAACTAAGTCATACCCTATATCTTACCCACAACAAAATTAGAATAACCCACTAACATCAATTTATCAACTCAAGAAAACTAGGTCTTAAACTTCTTTTACCTAAAAAATCAAACAAAATCAAAATCAACAACATTATAACATTGCCACAAACTAAAGCAATTACATTTTCTTGTATTAAATCTGAACTAGCTAATGCTTAAATTGTAACTCCTTTCCATGAGATTCAACTAGTTTATTTCAAATTTTCAACTTCTTATTTCGAGCTTAAACAAGTTCTTCATTCAATTTCAGCTTCATGTTTTTTGATTCAAATAGTTGTTGAAGACATCACTATCTTGCTAAGCATATTGTCAATGCTTCAACTAATTTGTGTTTCCTTGCATTTGATCTCGAAAGCTCATTTATTATTTTTGTCATTGTTTCTTTTAATTTCAGTATTTGTTTTCTACAACCTTCACATGGTATCTCATTAACCCACTAAAAAAATTTACATTTTCATACTCCCTGTAAATGCTAAAACCCAAAGATTAAACTTGTTTTATACCTAAAAGTTAGACAATAATTAACAAAATCTTACCTTAAAATTTTCACATCCATAAAATTTTCGCATGTGATTACCATTTGTTCCAGAAGTTCTTATTAGTGATTCTACACCACAATAGCATACTTTAGCTCCATTTGATCTATCACTTTTTACAGATTGTTGAAAATCCATGGGTGGGTGAGCCTCATTTTTCTCAAAGTAATGTAGTGGGAAGAGAAAAAAAAAAAGAGCAAGCAATGCAGATACCTCTTATTATTGTGGAAGAAATGGAAATACTTCTGACTATCATGGAAGAAACAAAAAATGGAGATTACCTTTGACTATTTTTCTAACGTTGTTCAATAGGTGATAATAAAATAGTGACACAAGGTGATTAAGTGTCACGTTTTAAATTTCATGGAGCACTCTCATTTTAGCCTTAATCACATGATATATTTATGAAGTTAATCCATTAATTAATTATTAATTTAAAATTATGTGAAAATTGCCATTAGTATATAAAATTCTTATTAATAAATGATAAAATTTTATATAATTTTTTATTAAAAATTAAATAATTATAATTAAGTGAAATGCATAAAAAAAAATAGTTTTAGCTAAGGAATAAATCTATGCGTTGTATGTTAAACGAAAGCTACAAAGAAAAACCAACATAGTTTCATCAAAATTTTATGCAAGTCTTTTTGCAAAATTTGAAAGCATAATGAATAAAAGTATCCAAAAACATCTATGTATCGACTGCTGTGGATTTTATTGGTAAACAACAACATACTTTTTACATTATTTTTCATGTTTCAATTTTCAAATTATTCATAAATTTTAGAAGGAAGGCGAGGCTTAACAAGAACTTCAAGTGGGGTGGCTTTCATGTTTGATAATCCAGCTTCTTCACTCATATCAACCGTTGCATTTGCTGGAGTCGAGATGTCAAACGCCTGTAACAAGCTAGCCAACGTCAAGTGTACCATTTGGAGGCCGAAAGACATTCCAGGGCACACCCTTCTACCGAAACCAAATGGGATCAATTCAAAATATTGATCACCCCCAACATCAAAATCTTTATGGGTAGTCAAGAATCTTTCTGGCTTGAATTCTAATGGATCCGACCATACCCCAGGATCTGTTTGAATCTTGAAAAGGTTTAAGAATATCCAGCAACCTCGGGGAACATGATAACCACTGACAACTATTTCGTCGCTGCATAATCGTGGGTAGAGAAGTACTGGCGGATGTAAGCGTAATGTCTCTTTAACTACGGCTTGAAGATACTCCAACTTGCTAAGATCTGATTCGTTTACTAATCTTTGTTTGCCTACATGGATGTCTAGCTCATCTTGAACTTTTCTCAACCAATGAAGATTGTTCAGCAATAAGGAAAGTGTCCATGTTAGTGTAACCTTAGGGGTGTCGCTTCCTCCTGTAATCATACTCTGCAAAAAAAGAATTGATTTTTTTACAAAATTGAGAGCCAGGAAAGTGAAGATAGAAAATTTTATGTTAGGATTTTTTCGCCAATATGTAACATCAGATCATCTGAAAGCCTCAATCAGTTCAACTAATTGAGATGTGGGTGTATTTATTGGGCCAAAATTAGTTCAACTAGGACAGGCCATATGGGTTAAATGTTGAAAAGAAATTTGAGAGGCAGGAACTATAAAATCTTGTTTTTGGGCTTTTGATCCTATAAGTAAAACATCAAAGATTCTAGGAGACCCAGCTTATATATTGGGCCGATCGTATTTCAACAAGGCCTAGCGCATATGGGTTCAACATCTTGAAAGATTTTTTTTTCCCAATAATGTTGAAAGAAATTTGAAAATTACAAAGATAAATTATACTTTAAATTATTACAAAAAAAAAAAATATTAAGAAAACATTTACCCTTTAATGTTTTCCGTTTTGCCAGATCATTTTTAATGTTTAAAAAGTTTCGGAGCACTGAAAAAAGGATTGCAGAAGGCATCCAAAGAGCAATGCACTTACTAGAAAAGAAATAAAGGAAAGTGCCAGAAATACCAAGCAATTGGCTTTGTTAATTGTGTCAACACCAAATTCGGTTGCAAGGTTTGTACCGTCAAGGAGAGAAAGCAAAACATCCATGAAGTCTTGTTCTTTAGCCTCTCCCGAAGCTCTCTTCTGCTTATGTTCCTCCAGCCATTCACTAGCAATACTATCCAATTCTTTCGCAGTCTCCTTCATGGCCTTTTCATGCCCACCCAAATCCAAAAACCCAAGAGAAGGAACAGCATCTTTCAAGGCAAATACCCCTAACAAATGAAACCATTCCCTCATCGCTTTTTGGCACCGTCTGGCCTTCTTGTCTTCACCCTTAGCTCCGGAACCGAAGTACCTCTTGCCAGCAACCATCCTAAGTATCACATTCAAGGTCAAGTCCCCAAACCATTGCTTCATTTCAACTAAAACATGGCCTGAGCCATTGTTTTCTTCGGACCAAGTTTTGTATAGCTCTTTGATAGAGACTTCTGCTTCAGAAACTCGAACATGCTTGAGTATTTCGAGTCGACGGTTCGAAAGCAGCGCTGTGTTGATTATTTTGCGCATTTCACGCCAGTATGAACCATAGGGTGCAACCCCAGCCATGGCATAGTTGAAGCCCAAGTGCTCTGCGGCTATTGTTCCTGGACGATTGGTAACAGCCACATCATAATTAGTGAATATTTCCTTGGCTATCTCCCAATTGCTCACCACCAATCCTGGGTGAATCCCTATCCAAATGGAGTAGACAGGACCATATTTTTCGGCCAAGGCTCCCAATGTTATGTGAGGAAGCTGCGGCCCACCTAACAATCGTAGGTGGCCAATTATTGGCCACGCCCCTGCAGCTTGGGGTGCCATCTTTTTGCTTTCAGTAACCCTCGAACATCTTACGAGATAGAAGAAAAGGAGAAGAACGGTTGCTAATCCAGCCATAAAAGTGCTCAACTGAGACCCAAGCAAATCCATTGAGACAAACAATTAGTCGGTAGAGGTGGGGGTGTATGTAGCATCCAAGAAATTAATTAATGTGGTTGCTGTGTGATTTGATATTTGTAGTTGCTTCCATTGAGCCAGATTCAATGTCTTTCCACTATATATGGGCCCCAAAAGTTTGCCGTGTATCAATTCTTGAGTTCCTGACTCCTCAGCAAAAGGCCAACTAACTTGAGCTACGAAGCGTATTTCCTAACAACTAGATACTTATCTATTAAGCTTGTTTTATCAACTCTGAGTTTGCAGGCAACGTGAAACATGTCAAGCTTCGGGTAGCAAATTTGTAAGCATTAACACCACAAAGTTCTTCATTTTCAACTTGAAGTAATTATTTGTGCTAGACGTTAGGGCCTTTCGCTCCTTTTATGTATTTGTTATATACAACTGAAATCAAAAACTGCTAGCTACTAACTACTAGCTACACTTTGATTTACGAATATCGCAACAGGCATTGGTCTACAAATGGGTGTTGATCAGAATGTTAGGACAATCCTGATGAAGTGTGGTCTTGTAGTTGAAGATGCAAATGGTTAATTATCTTCAGAATAATAACATATCTTTTCTTTCAACCATTTTTTTCACGGACTAATTCCATGGCCCACGATATTGATAGATATTTGGGAAATAATTATGTGGTTATGTCAGCTGCATGAGTTTCTATGGTTGAATTTTATTTGGATGGCGACGGGCCATTGATGCTCATCAAATCCGAAACCTTTTTTCTATGAATTGTTTCCATTTTATATTGGGGCATATTGGCGTTTATTTAACAACGCCACGTCTGATTGTCAGCTTCCTCAAATTACCCAAGAGCCTTGAAGATCTTCTGATCCTTAGGTTTAATATTAGAATTAATATTTTATATGTTGATAGTGTATTATTTTTATATATTATCAATAAATAATATAATAATACTTTATTGATAAATAAAATTTTAAATTTTAAATTTTTAAAAATAAATATTAATAAAAATATAAGATGTATCATTGATCATTTTACAAATTCGAAAATGATTATGCAGAATCTGATAAGACGAATATAAAAAAATTAAAATCAAACAAAAACATTAAAAAATCAAAAGAAAAAGACGATAAATACAGAAAGAGGTGACAAATTTTTTTTTTAATTTTAATTAATTAATCTAGTGTGCTTCTTCCCTTCAGAATGAATCGGTCAAGCTCTTCTTATCTTTCCAACTCGAAACACGTGACGATCAAAGACGACTTTACCAGTTGCCTGTGATAGTTAAAAGAAAACTGGATCAGATAGAACGTGCAAAAGTGTCTTTTGCCTCGCCTTCGATAGTCTTTCGTTAGTTAATTTCGGGCTTACAACTACAAATAGGCTATAAAGCAAGCACCTATGGCTGGATAGAACTCAAATTTTCACAGGTGATTGTTGGCAGTGCAAGTAAGGACACTAAACCGGCGGTGTTCGGAATTGAATGGAATGAGCAGCAGAGGGAACTCCTCAGTGGAAATGAATGCGAATTGTAAGACTTGGAATAGGCTCCGAAACGAAGCGAACGGATGAGAACGAAATCTTTTCAATTGAAAGAGAGTAGAGTTCAATCAACCTACCTGTGTGCTTGTGCCTTCGGGCAGAGACAGAGAAAGAGTAGAAAAGAAAATATGCGATAAATGTAAAGAAAGGTGACAAAGAAAATTTTTTTAATTTTAATTAATTAACTCTAAATAAATTTATTAATATTTATTTTTAAAGATTTAAATTTTAAAATTTTATTCATTGGTGAAGTATTTTGTATTATTTACTGATAATATATAAAAATAATATATTATTAGTATATGAAATATTAATTTTTAATATTATTATATATTGACTTTTTTCGTAATCCGAAAATTTTGAATTTGTTATTTTGATGCGTTTTATTGGTGATTGAAAATATAAAACAAAAATTTTTTTTTAAAATTTTCTACAGTAAATATTATGTTGCTTTTTCTCTTTTTTTTTTTCTTCATATCCAATATTTTTTTATTTACAGCAAAAAAAAAAAAAGAAAAAAAAGAATGGCTACTAGGCCAATTTAAGAGTTGCTTAGGTCAGGCAGAATAAAATTCATTGATGTAAATTTGTGATCTTTTGCTTTTATGCTTTCAGGTCATATATATAGTTGCTTTTCCACTAGGGCTCATCTCTTTTGCTTGACCCACCAAATATATCATTTAGGACATGTTTAAGTTAAAATAAATTATAAGTGATTAACTCTTAGATGATAATATAAAGGCAATAATAGTCAAATAAATCTTAAAAGATTATTAAAAAATAAAAAAATCTTCGATTTTTTATTGCATAATAAAATTAAAATTTATGAATTTTTATTTAATGGTAACTATTTCCATTAAATCTTGAAAATGAATGAATAAAATTCAATTATCACAATTTAAAAAAAAATTTTAAAAATATTTGTTATTTAGTTATCAAAACAAGCCTAAGTAAGTATTTGTATAAATTACATAGTTCAATTAAGAAAATGTTAACCAAAAATCGAGTATTTTATAAGATTAAAGTTTTAATTATAATATAATAAAAATTTATAATTTTAATTTTATGAAATAAAATATCAAAAATTTATTTTTCATTTTAAGTAAATTTTTACTATATAATTTGGGCATCATTGGGTAAAGTTAGATGAAAAGTTGTTTACTCTTTCAATTTTTTAAAAATTTTCCTGGTCTTTTTTCTTTTTTCTGTGTTTCTTTGTTTTAATGGTGTCAAAGCTAGAAGGTTAAAATATTTAAAAGGAGGAAGGCAAAAAAAATCAAAATGAGGCACTAAATCTATAAATTCGTTGTTTTTTTTTACATAAAAAATGATTTCATTTTAAAAAAAGAAAAAAAACTTAAAAAAAAAATTGAAAAAAAAAAGAAAATTAAGTTCGCAACAATATTAATAATATGAATAAAAAAAATTAAAAACAAAAAAGGAAAAAATGAATTCGGATGTAATGTCAACAAATTCACTAATATAATTTCCATTAACAATAATCAAATAAAAAAATAAAAAATAAACATATATTTTTAATAATAATATCAAATGATTTATATATGAAAAAAATTAAAATATAAAAAACTATTAAATATTAAAAATTAACAAAAACAATGAAAAATAAAATCAAATGGCTTGATATATTGTATATTATTGATATAAAATAGATCTTACAAAAATTTAAATAAAAAATTTATTAATTATGTAAAAATAAAAAAAAGTTAAAAAAATTAAATATGTGCTGTACCTTTCATAACAAATGAGTTTCAAAATAGAATTAAAACTACAAAAATAAATTTTTTGAAAAAATTTAAAAAATCAAAGTAAAAAAAAATAGTTTAAATAAGTCTTATAATAAAAACCTTTAGAAGATATATTTTTTGTTTTTTAAAATTATTGAATATAATAAATAAAACAATAAATTAGACAAATAAAAAAATCGGGTGAACAAAATCAGGATGCAAAACAAAAATAATAATAATAATAATAATGTAAAAAAAAAAATCCCACAACTTTTTAAAAATTTAAAAAAGAAGTGCATTCCACCAATTAAAAAAAAAAAAGTCGAAGCGCACAGGTTTTAAAAAAAGTTTTAAAAAAATCAGTGGATCCCACCGATAAAAAACCGTTGAATAAAAAACCGGGTCTCACTCCTTAAAAAATTAAAAAAAAAATTGCATAATCCTTTAAAAAAAAAAAAAAAAGTCACACCACAAAATAAAATAATACTAAAAATAAAAAATGACCACTTGATAGACACATGGCTGCTTCTGCAGCAAATTTGCGGCATCATTTTCGGGCTCAAAGCATGAATAAAATTCACGATAAAGACAAAACGTAATGAGACTGGAATATTGATTTTTGAACTTCACCAAATACAACTGCCCCGGCTTGCGGATCAAAGAGGAAAGAGTCCAGTGATCATGACACGGGAAAATTATAGTTTTGAGTGATAGAGAGCATATATGACAAAGATGCCTGCTTTAAAGCAAAGAGAATAGGATGTCAGCAAATGACACTCATACAGATAAACCAGAAAATTATAAATCAACTTTGTGTGGACTTGACTTGGTGTTCTTATCCTTGAGTTCCAAGAGCAAATGAATGAAAAAGCAAGCATGGCTGAATTTAACGAGAAATTATCTAGAAATTGTAGATGTGAATAGAGCACAGAAACAAATACTAGTATAGTATAGGTCAGGTTTAAGAATAAAAAAGAAATACAGACAATAAAATTTGAATCTCAAACTTTTGTCACCTCTTATCCTAAACACTGGGTTCAGCCAGGAACCATACATATTGATATCACAAAGAAAAATATCAGACTCAACTTTAGCTAAAGTAAAGAAAGCAATAGCTGTGGATTACACTTCAAGATGATTATTGATAGACACTAGGAGACAAGCGCGGTTTGGCAAGAATTTCAAGTGGGGTTGCTTTAATGTTTGTTAGTCCTGGACTCCCAGTCATGTCAACAGGTTCATTTGATGGAGTCAAGATGTCGAACGCATGCAGCAAGCTGGCCAGAACCAGATGTGTCATTTGCAAGCCAAAGTTTATCCCTGGGCACAATCTTCTACCAGCACCAAATGGTATGAGCTCAAAATGCTGACCCTTAACATCAGTATCCAGGTGGCTGGTGATAAATCTCTCAGGCTTGAACTCTAAGGGATCGGACCATAATTGTGGATCTGTTTGAATTTTCCAAAGGTTGAGTATCAGCCGGTTGCCTTTGGGCACAAGGTAGCCACCTATTGTGCAATCTTCAGAGAATTCGCGTGCTCCTGAGAGTGGTCCAGCTGGATATAAACGTAGTGATTCTTTTACAATTGCTCGGAGGTAGACTAGCTTATCAATGTCTGATTCATTTACTTGTCTTCCTTTGCCAATCTGGATGTCCAATTCTTCCTGAGCCTTTCCCAAAGCATGACGGTTGTTGAGCAATAGCGCAAGTGTCCAAGTTATTGTGACTGTTGTGGTATCAGTGCCCCCTACAAGCAAAGTCTACAGAAAAACACGATTGTGTTATATCAACTTAAATCACATGAAGCAATTTCATTCTTAAAATTTTCTTTTAAAGAAGGTTGAGCCTAACAAAATCGATGTTTTGGCTCCGTGTTTAATAGGAATTAAGATTGTCAGAAGGCCTAAGTGATGGTGGTAGAAGAATTCTTACCAGGGCTGTTGCTTTAGTGACAGTATTAACATCATATCCTGAAAGGTCAATACCCTCGAGAACAGAGAGCATCACATCAATAAAGTCTTGCTCTCCCTTAGCTACCTCGCCAACAGATTCTTTCTTCCTACGATGTTCCTCTAACCATACTTCCAGGACACTATCCAATTCCTTCCCAGTTTTCTTCATGGCTTTTTCATGTCCACCCAAATCCAGCCACCCAAGAAAAGGAATTGCATCCCTTAACACAAACAATCCTGCCAAACGGAAAAATTCCCTCATTGCTTTCCTGCATCGCCTTGCCTCTTTCTCATCGCTAGCCACAACAGCCCCAAAAAACCTCTTCCCTGCAATCATCCTAAGAATCACGTTCAGATTTAAGTCCCCAAACCATTTCTTCATCTCAACCAAAACATGGCTTGACTCATCTTTTTTCTCGGTCCAAAGCTTGTACAGCTCTTTTATTGAGCTTTCTACTTCAGAGGCTCTAACATGTTTCAAAAGCTCAAGCCTGCGGTTTGACAAAAGCTCCGAGGCTGTTATTTTGCGCATTTCACGCCAGTATGCACCATAAGGACTGAAACCAAAGTTGGCATAGTTATGGCCGAGGTAATTTCCTGCTGTAAGTTTGGGCCGTGAGGACACAGCTACATCATAGGTCGTAAATATTTCTTTGGCCAACTCCGAACTACTGACCACCACAGCTGGGTGCAAGCCAATTCGGATAGTGAATATCGGTCCATACTTGTCAGCTAGGGTTCCCAGTGCTAAGTGTGGAAGCTGGGATCCTGCTAATAGATGGAGATGACCGATTAAAGGCCATCCACCGGCAGCTTCTGGTGGTTTTTGGCCCTTCGAAGATGTTCTAGACCACCTAATTAGCAGGAAACATGAAAGGAGTATGGCAAAGACTCCTGCAATGTTACTGTTTAGGTAAGGAAGGAAGAAATCAATATTCATTGTGGCTTTGATTTCTGGATGATAGCGTTTGGGAAGTGTTTATCATTTGATTAGTCAACAAAGATCATTTAAAAAAAAAAAAAAAGACGTCAGCAGTTGAACACAGGACACTGTGCTAAACTTTGTTTCAGATGGTTCGATTCCATTCTATCTTAGATGGTCATCAATTTCCAATATTCATTTAAGAGCTTTGTTTGAGTGCCAGTTAATTAAATTATTTCCAAAGCAGGCTTTTTTTTTTTTTTTGTCAATTTGATCATCATTTTGTATTTATTTAAGGGGGAAATAATGCTATTCGTCAGAATGATGAAATTCAACATCTTCCTTTCTGATTGGCTTGAAAAGGCGAAACATGGAAAGGAAGGAGTGATTGGCTAGCAAGAAAATGATCGGATAGTTTAATACTACAAGTTACTAAATTATAGTAAAATTTCGAGTTTAACATCATTTTGGATTTCATCAGAAAAGACAAAAGCAAGATCAGAACTGAACCACAGTATTACACAAAACAGAACAAATCATGAGATCAACTAAAAGATTCCATTATAGTTGGTCTTATTTTACTTGAGTTGCATAACCAAGTCTCCTCCGTACCCTTGGTTATGAGGCATAGACATTAGCTGGGAGACGCGGCTGAAGTAGAACGTCCAATGGGGTGGCCTTTGAATGGTTAAACTGTTAAAAAAATGAGGTTCAACTTTATGTAAGTAGTTTTGGATCAAGTAAAGGTCATGAGCCTTGATCTTTCATTTTACACAGAGTCCTAGTTACTTAATAAAAAAGATATGGGATAGTTTTAAGTGTGTGTCGAAAAATCAAGTAAAAAAAAAGAAAAGCAAAAAAAAGCAGAGAGAAAAATGAGAAGGGAGAGTTAGTTGAGTGGAAGTTGATCCGTGGTCCAATTGAGTTAGAACCTTGTCAGGAGATTTATGATTCAGAGTTTTACATTCTGAATGGTGAAGATCAGGTTTGAAGCTCACTAGGAACAAATTCATGGTGTATTTGTTGAGTCATTTATTAAGTGAGATTTCTCCAATTGTTTCTCTAGTTGTTGTTTAGCTCTAGTTTTAGCTAGAAAAGAACTTTGTATACCTATTATTTGATAGTGAAGATTTTTCTGGTGGTTCCGTGATTTTTTTCCTCTACACTGGAGGGTTTTCCATGTAAATCTTGGTGTGCTTTATTTTTTTTGCGTTTTTTATTATTGATTGTTGTCTATTACTTCTGTATTGTTGTGATTATTGCTTCAGGCTCAACAAGTGGTATCAGAACAAGGGTTATTTTAAGACATTGATACAGAAGCAACCCAGAATAGAAGTAAATTTTGTTTGAGATCATGGAGGGTGATACAGGTTCCATGATAAAATTGACAGCATCAAATTATTCAATTTGGAAGCCTATGATGGAGGATCATCTATATTGTAAAGATTTGTATGAGTCAGTATTGGGTGATTTGGCTAAACCAGTAGATATGAAAGATGAAAGCTGAAAGAAGCTAGGTAAAAAGACGCTGGCTACAATCAGAAAATAGGTTGATATTAGCGTGTTTCATCATGTAGCGCAGGAGTCAGATGCTCACATTGTTTGAGAAAAATTGGCAGCATTATATGAGAGAAAAACAGGTATGAATAAAGTTATGCTTGTTAAAAAGCTTGTAACTTTACAGTACAAGGATTGACGATCTGTTATAGAGCACTTGAGTGATTTTCAAGATATATTTAATAGGATGACTACTATGGAGCTTAAGATGGATGATGAAATGAAGGTGTTATTTCTTTTGGGTTCATTGTCAGACAGCTATAATACTCTAGTTGTGACTGTTCTTAATTCAGTTCCTGATTATAAGGTGACATTGGAGATGGTAAAGGACAATATGCTTAATGAAAAAGTAAGGTGAAAAGATATAGACCTTGGGAATCAAGCTCTGATCACAGAGAACATGGGTAAAAATATCGACAGAGGTCAGGACTCAAAAGGTCGTAGTAAGTCTAAATATAGATCCAAGTCTAGAGGTAAAGTGAAGTGTTTTTATTGCGGTAAGGCATGTCATATAAAATGAAACTGTAAAATCTTGAAGCAAGAGCGAAAAGATGAAAAAGGCAAGAGTTCAGATGATGACAATGTTGTAGCAGTGAATTCAGATATTGATTCAGTTACTTTGATTTATACACATGATGATTGTAATCATGTTAGTGATCCCGGTATTGAGTTGACACATGAGCGACATATCATTGTGTTCTTAAGAAAGAGTTGTTTATAACTTACAAAATAAGAGACTTTGATTGTACCAATATGGGAAACAAGAGTGTATCGTAGATTGTTGGGATTGGTGATATTATTGTACAAACTAGTACATGCTCCATGTTGACTTTGAGGGATGTCAAACACATTTCAAATATGAGAATGAACTTGCTTGCTATTAATATCCTTGATAATGAAGGATATGAAAGTCGACAAAAGAATGGATAGTGAAAGCTTTTCAAAGGATCTATGGTAGTTACAAGGAGAAAACTATGCTATATAATGTATAAGACATGGATGTAATTGAACGGTAACCAGGTAAATACCGTTGAAAATGATGCTTCAGCAAACTTGTGGCACAGAAGGCTGGCATACATGAGTGAAAAAAGGTTACAGGTTTTGGTAAGACAGTCTCTTATTCCTTTGACCAAAGGTATGTCTCTCGATTCATGTGATTATTGTCTGTTTGGTAAGCATCATAGAGTTTTTTTTCGTAAAAGTTCTCAGAGAAAAGAAAATAGATTGGAATTAATTTATTCTGACGTATGTGGTCCCATTGAGGTTGAGTCATTAGGTGGTAGTAGATATTTTGTTACTTTTATTGATGATGCTTCACGTAAGACTTGAGTGTATATGTTGAAATACAAAAGTCATGTACTGCAGTATTTTTAAAAATTTCATGCCATGGTTGAAAGAATGACAGGGTTATCCTTGAAGTGTATTCGAACTGATAATGGTGGAGAATACACATCTAAAGGCTTTGAAGAGTATTATTCAAAGCATAGGATCAGGCATGAGATGACAGAACCTGAAACACCACAGCATAATGGTATAGCTAAAAGAATGAATCGTACCATTATGAAAAAAGTCAGATGCATGTTAAGGATGGTAAAATTACCAAAGCCATTATGGGGTGAAGCAGTTAACACGGCTTGTTATTTGCTTAACAGATCACCATCAGTTCCTTTAGGCTTTGACATTCTAGAAGGAGTGTGGATAGGAAAAGATACTTCATACTCTCATTTGAAAGTTTTTGGGTGTAAAACATTCATGCATGTACCGAAAGAGCAGAGATCAAAGCTTGACAGTAAAGTCACACAATGTGTATTTATAGGATATGGTGATGAAGAATTTGGTTACAGGGTATGTGATCCAGCAAAGAAAAAGACAATAAGAAGTAGAGATGTGATCTTTCATGAAAAAGAAACCATAGTAGACATTGAAAAAAATGAGAAGACTACACGGATTATTGTTGAGTATGATGTTTTAATACCGACAGAGATTTCATAAGAAAGAGCCACAGATGGTGAAAATGAGCAAAAAATAGAACTTGAGAATATAAATGAGCTAGCCACAGTTACTGATGAGCTAGATACAATTAGTTTTGAGCAGAGGGAGCAATCATCTCTACCTGAGAGTATTGAGCAAGGGGAGCTACCTTTGACATCAAGTGATGTAGAGTCTCAGCCCAAGAGATCTACTAGATAACACGAGCCATCTATCAGGTATCTAAGTTCAGATTTTATTTTAGTTACCAGTGAAAGGGAGCTAAAAAGCTTCCAAGATGTGCAGGCTACTTCGGATAGAGAGCACTAGTTAAAAGTAATGAAAGAAGAGATAGAGCCATTACGAAAGAATGGTACTTATGATCTTGTTAAACTTTCAACAGAAAATAGGCCATTAAAGAATAAATAGGTGTTCAAGTTAAAAAAAGATGGTGACAAATTAGTGAGGTACAAAGCTTGATTGATAGTAAAAGATTTTTCTCAGAAACTAGGCATCAATTTTGATGAGATTTTTACTCCAGTTGTAAAGATGAGTTCTATTCGAGTGGTACTAAGATTAGCAGCTAGATTGAATCTTAAGTTTGAGTAACTTGATGTTAAAACTGTATTTTTGCATGGTGATTTATAGGAGGACATTTATATGAATCAGCCTGAGGGTTTAAAGTGAAAGGCACTTAGTTTACAAATTGAAAAAAAACTTGTATGGCTTGAAACAAGCTCTGCGACAGTGGTACAAAAAGTTTGATTCTTTTATGGTGAGTCATAGCCATAGAAGAACAGCAACGAATTCTTGTGTGTATGTTAAACAATTCTCTAATGGTAACTTAATTATCCTATTATTATATGTTGATGATTATGTTGATTGTAGGATAAGATGCTAGTATAGTTTACAGGTTGAAAGAATAATTGTCTAAGCTTTTGATATTAAGGATTTAGGTCTAGCAAAGCAGATTCTTAGTATGGACATTATCCGAGATAGGAGAGCTAAAAAGCTGTGGTTGTCACAGAAAAAATATGTTGAACGAGTGCTTGGTAGATTCAACATGCAACATGCTAAATCAATTAGCAGTCCACTTGTCAACCATTTTTATTTAAGTAAGAAATCTTGTCCAGTGTCTAAGGAAAAGCAGCTAACTATGTATAGTATTCTTTATTCGTCTGCAGTTGATTCTTTAATGTATCTTATAGTTTGTACAAGGCCTGACATTTCTCATATAGTTGGTGTCGTGAGCAGATTCTTTCTAATCCGAGAAAGGTTCACTAGAAAGCAGTGAAATAGATTTTTAGATATTTGAGGGGTACCTCAAAAATGTGCTTGACTTATGAAGTTTCACAATCAGTTCTAGAAGGGTTTACGGATGTTGACATAGCAGACGATCTTGATGGTAGGAAATCTACTTCAAGGTATTTGTTCACTTTTGCAAGAGAAACTGTATCTTGACAATCTAAGTTACAGAAGTGTGTTGCTTTGTCAACTATAGAGGCTGAGTATATTGCAGCAACCGAAGCATGTAAAGAAATGCTTTGGATGAAATATTTTTTTCTTGAATTGGGGTTTAATAAGAAAGAGTATGGGATATTTTGTGATAGCCAGAGTACTTTAGATTTGAGTAAGAATACCATGTACCATGCTGGAACAAAGCACATTAATGTTAGATATCATTGGTTACATTCAGTGATTGAAGAACTGCAGATGTTATTAAAAAAAGTCCATACTGATAAGAATGTAACAGATATGTTGACTAAGATACTTTCTAGGAAAAAGCTTGAGCTTTGCAGTAACTTGGCCGAAATGAGTTCCCTGAGCAAGGTAAGTTCCAAATGAAACTGCTATGGTGATGAATCTCCTCTTAATGGGCCTAAAGAGGGAGATTGTTAGAAAAATGGGGTCCAACCTCATGTAAGTGGTTTTGGACCAAGTAAAGACCATGGGCCTTGATCTTTCATTTTACACAGAGCCCTAGCTACTTAATAAAAAAGAGGTGGGGTTGTTTTAAGTGTGTCGAAAACCAAGTAGAAAAAGAAGAAAAGCCAAAAAAAGTAGAGAAAAAAAAGAGACGGGAGAGTTAGTTGAACGGAAGTCGATCTGTAGTTCAATTGAGTTGAAACCTTGTCAAGAGGTTTATGATTCAGAATTCTACATTCTGAACGGTGAAGATCGGGTTTGAAGCTCACTAGGAACAAATCCAGGGTGTATTTGTTGAGTCACTTATTTGGTGAGATTTCTCCAATTGTTTCTCTAGTTGTTGTTTAGCTCTAGTTTTAGCTAGAGAAGAACTTTGTATACCTATTATTTGATAATGAAGATTTTTCTGATGGTCCATGATTTTTTTCCTCTACACTGGAGGGTTTTTCAAGTAAATCTTGATTTGTTTTATTTTTCTTATATTTTTTATTATTGATTGTTGTCTATTGCTTCAGTATTGTTGTGATTATTGCTTCAGGCGCAACATAAACCTAGGCTCTCAGTCATGTTAACAGGTTGATCCATAGAAGTTTTCAGTTCAAATGCATGAAGAAAACGAGCAAGTGTCAGATGAAGTTGTTGGAGAGCAAATGATGCACCAGGGCATGAACGTCTTCCTGAGCCAAATGGAATGAGTTCAAATTGTTGACCTCTAACATCAACACCGGCATGGCTTGTGAGAAATCTCCCTGGTAAAAATGCAGATGGATTTGACCATACTCTTGGATCTCTTTGAATTTTCCACACATTTACGACTACCCGCCAGCTGGGACATGATAGCCAGCAACAGTGCAGTCGTTCATAGCTTCCCAGGGTCCCAGTAGAGGACCAGCTGGATAAAGGCGCAGGGTTTCTTTGATGATAGCTTGAAGATACACAAGATTTTTAATATCTGACTCATCAACTGGCCTTTCCCGGCCAACCTGGAGGTCTAATTCCTCTTGAGCCTTCTCCAACATCTCACGATTATTCAGAAGTAAAGAAAAGGCCCATGTCAGTGTCCCTGACGTCGTGTCACTGCCACCAATGATATGTGCCTACATGAAAATCGAAAAGAACGTTAATGTAGAAGTAAGCTTGCCTAACAAAAGTTAGCTTATCAGCTATAAAGAGTCGTATAAACTGTTTGTGATTCTCAATAATCACAAAATTAAATACTTGAGCATGCCACACCAGTCAAGAACTAGCAAGCCCAAAATAATGAACCATTCTAAGAATACAGGGTATAATCAGACCTTCTTGGATAAACTACACCACTCATCGATTGTCCTGTTTTTGGCCAAACAAGTGTTATCATAAATCAAACTCTGAGCTCAAATTTATTATGTTTCTTCAAATTAAACATACCAGACAGGTAGACTTGATACTCGTATCTGCATCATACTGAAAATTTGAGAGGTGACCTTCCTCCTGAAGAGACAACATTACATCAATGAAGTACTGCTCCCCTTCAGCCTTGATTCCACCAGAAATCCTTCTATCTCGATGCTCCTTTAGCCAGCCCTCAAGTACACCATCCAACTCCTTGGCCGTCTTTTTCATTGCCTTTTCATGCCCCTGCATATCTAACCACCAAAGGAGTGGAAGTGCATCTGAAACAACAAAAAGACCAATTAAATGAAAGAACTGACTTATTGCCTTTTGACAATTTCTTGCCTCGCTATCATCACAGGCAGCAGAAGCACCAAAATAACATTTTCCAGTCACCATTCGAACAACTATATTAAACCACTGTTTAAGTTCAACAAGCACAAGACTGGAACCATTGTTATAACTTAAACTGTCTAGTTCTCTTATCCCCATGTCAACTTCAGAAATGCGATCATGCTTGAGCATCTCAAGCCTGCGGTTTGAGAGAAGTTCAAGTGTTGCAATTTTTCCCATCTCACGCCAGAAGGGGCAGTAAGGTGCAAACCCAAACACAGCATAATTGTAACCCATGTGCTTTGTAGCTACTGTAGTAGGACGTGAAGCTAGTGCCTTATCATTAATTGTGAAGCATTGTTTTACCACTTCCCAGCTACTAACCACAAAAGCATGGCGACTGCCTAGGCTTATTGTAAATGCAGGCCCATGCTTATCAGCCACTGCTCCAAGTGTTCGGTAAAGAAGCTGATTACTGCCACCCAATACGTGGAGGTGGACAAGAATTGGCCATGCACCTTCAGGTTGAGGAGCCATTCTAATGAATGGTTCAGTAACTCATGAAAAAAAATTCATGTCTATTTATATGTTCAAGCCAACAGTAAATCGCCTAAAGTCAGCATGATGCATACCATTGCTTGACAAATTCTAGCAAGGAACATGGCTTGACTTCATCAATCTGTTTACCATTCCTCGGTGTACAGGAATCTGTGAGAATGACAGTAGAAAAAAGAGAATTTAATTAAATACACTATATCACCCTCGATATCCATAGAACATATATAAAATATATTTTTGAATATAATTAACAGCTTAGCCTTGAGCCGTGCGACAGTAATGGGACGGTTTTCATCCCTCATATTTCAGTGCTTTGCTTTGGAAGAAAATTAGTACAGTTTTGAAGAGATAAACAATTTTTTGAATCTATGTGAATATTTTGAAAAAGAAAATTATACTTCCTCTAAGCTAAACCAGCTTAAGAGAATTCTTTTTTTTGAAAAAGCTACAGTATTTTTAACCAAAGAATTATTCCAGCAAATTAATTCTTTTATTTTACAATCAATAGAAAACCTGTTAAAAGAAATTTTTTTTATTATTATACTTTTACGTATATGTATAATACTGCTTTTAACGAATATATACCTAAAATCAAATTTTGACTTGATCATGAAATCTTTGATGTAAAAAGCATTGAATTTGGTTTAGTCGGATAAATTACTGTATAAAACTTTTCTTTTCACCTTTTAAAAGATTTTTCAGCTTTTATAAAGCATCACTTTACTGAATGTAAAAAATGGTCAAAATATTTTTACTACATTCATTTTACCATATATAGTCTTTTGGGTACCTTTCAAAGAGAAAGATTTTACCAACCTTATCAAATATGAGAATTTGATAAAATATCCGGTGGACATTTTCTTCAACCCCTTAATATACTTGATCCACCAACAGACCATATCGAGTTCTCAGATGATTTAAATAAAATCATCACTAAATATACCAATCCAAACAGTTACCATTTCCAAACAAGAATTGATCTTATAGAAAAAGCAAAATTCTTTCTCCACCTAGCCACAAAACCAGACTATCCAAAAATAGCTTGCTAGATAGATGGCAGATGCATTTTTGTTATCAGATTTCTTGAACCACATGACGATCTTGATATACAAAATGCTCCAGAGGCAATTAAGCTACTGGAAAAATTATCAAATATGAAAGATCTAGATCATCCGATAGAATTACTATACCAGTACCAAGAAGGATGGTAAATGTGGAACAAATCACATTCTGGATCTCTTCAATCTCTCCAGTCCCTTAACGCACTGGATGAAGAATTTCATAACTTAAACAATGCTATGGAAAGATTAAAAATTATGCATATTCTAATCCAAGATAAGCTAGAAGGGGGTGTGAAAATGATTTATGTATAAAGGATTACAAAGCTATATATATAGATTTACAAGTGGAGGACGGTAAACAAGAGAGAGAGAAAAGTGAAGATAGAGGAAGGAGAAAAGATAAAGAGAGAAAGAAAAGAAAGGAATTGGCCTCCCTCTAACTTAGATACACTGAGGCTTTAAATAGAAAAATTTTAACTTATAAATAGTAACTTTGTACAGTTATCGCTACAGTGTACAATAAAATTTTTATCTACAGTACCTCTACAGTGACTTGCTACAATGTCTTTCATAATATGTCTATGTCTTTTTCTGCTACAGTGACTGTTACAATGACGTTTTATTTGTCTATTATAGTGACTGCTACAGTATTTTCTATCTATTGGTCGTTGGCGTCGAATATAGTTTATCTTTTAGTGTCGACTATTTGTTCTGGCTTATCCTGGATTAGAATATGTATAATTTTTTTATCTTTTCATAACATTGTTTAAGTTATGAAATTCTTCATCCAGTGCGTTAAGGGACTAGAGAGATTGAGAAGATCCATAATGTGATTTGTTTCACATTTGCCATCCTTCTTGGTACTGGTATAGTAATTCTGTTGGATGATCTAGATCTTCCATGTTTGATAATTTTTTCAATAGTTTAATTACCTCTAGAGCATTTTGTATATCAAGATCGTCATGTGGTTTAAGAAATCTGATAATAAAAATATGTCTACCATCTATCCAGCAAGTTATTTTTTAGATAGTCTAATTTTGTGGCTAGGTGGAGAAAGAATTTTTCCTTTTCTATAAGATCAATTCATGTTTGGAAATGGTAACTGTTTGGATTGGTATATTTAGTGATGATTTTGTTTAAATCATTTGAGAACTCGATATGGTCTGTTGGTGGATCAAGTATATTAAGGGGTTGAAAAAAATGTCCACTGGATATTCTATCAAATTCTCATATTTGATAAGGTTGGTAAAATCTTTCTCTTTGAAAGGTACCTAAAAGACTATATATGGTAAAATGAATGTAATAAAAATGTTTTGACCATTTTATACATTCAATAAAGTGATGCTTTATAAAAGCTGAAAAATCTTTTAAAAGGTGAAAAAAAAAGTTTTGTACAATAATTTATCCGACTAAATCAAATTCAATGCTTTTTACATCAAAGGTTTCATGATCAAGTCCAAATTTGATTTTAGGTATATATTCGTTAAAAGCAATATTATACATATACGTAGAAGTATAATAATCAAAAAAATTTTCTTTCAACAGGTTTTCTATTGATTGTAAAATAGAAGAATTAATTTGCTGAAATAATTCCTTAGTTAAGAATACTGTAGCTTTTTCAAAAAGAAAAATTCTCTTAAACTTGTTTAGCTTAGAGGAAGTATAATTTTCTTTTTCAAAATATTCATATAGATTCAAGAAATTATTTATCTCTTGAAAACTGTACTAATTTTCTTCCAAAGTAAAGAAATCAATATCTTGCTATTTTAGCATATTTGTTGATAGAAGACTTTGGAAAGCTATTTCTTTGAAATTCTGAAATTCTTTAGCCTGGTTGACTAAGAACTCAGTTAATTTTGTCATCTTTTTTCGAAAGCTGGATTTATTTTTTAAGAGATGAGATTTCCAAACATTGTTTAACAATTTATAGACTATTTGTTAGAGAGTTTTATTTTCTCAAGCAGTTTTCTGCTGAAGAGACTATTTGTGAATAACTCATAGGAGTCCATTCGTTTGGATCTTGAGCAAATTGAAAAATTTCTGGTTGAATTCTCATAAAAGGAGGTTTGTAAAGTGGTTGTTGGTAGAGATATAATCATTGGTTAGGATTAGTGTAAAAATTAAATCTTGGGTTAAGATTTGTAGAGACCAAAGGTCTTAGAGAAGAAAGAGTAAAAGAAGAAAAAAAAAAGGGTTTTTTACCTGTCTTTTTTTTTATTGTTTTCCATCTACCTGTATCATGGACTGATTATTTTTTTCAATCGATGTGGTCAATTCAGATAGTTTGCAAGGAGATTTTTATCTCTGTTGATGAACTCTACTTGAAAATGATACTAGCAAAGAAAGTTATACCACCATATTCGCCTGAGATTATCAGAAAGCTTTTTGTTTTGGAAAAAGTTTTTTACTGCTTGGTTATCTGTTTTGATAACAAAGATCTTTAGGGCTAAATAGATGTGAAAACGTTTATACCATTTTTTATGGCTAATAATTCTTTTTCAAATATAATATAATTATTTTATTCGATTTGAATTTACCGAATTTGTAGCCACAAATCAGTTCATCTTTTTTATGAAAATTTTTTACTTTAAAGATACATCCTCAATGTTCATCACTGGCATCTATCTCTAAAATAAGTAAATCATCTTGTTTAGGCAGATAGACTTTAGGTATAGTAGTTAATTCTGATTTGATATATTTGATAATATCAGAATCATTGGGTGTCCAGACAAAATCATTATCTTTTCGTAATTTACGTAAAAGATAGCTTTTCTTTTTGAAAAAAGTTTTTGAAAAATTGCATGCCATAATTGAGTATACCTAACAGCTGTTGTAGCTGTTTGACATTATCCAGTTGTTCTGAAAACTTCTTGATCTTTGATATAATATGATCCTACAATGTTAGTTCATTTACAGATAGATTAAGACCAAGAAATTAAATTTATGTTTTTTTGAGCTCAACCTTTTTTAGACTCAAAATAATACCATGTAGAATAAATTCTTGAGCAATAAGATTTAGGTGTTTCCTGTGTTCATCTAAAGTATTTGAAAATACTAAAACATCATCGATATAGACACAGCAAAATTGTTTATGTTTGCTAAAAATACTATCCATCCCACGTTGAAAAATTTGAGGGGTGTTGCATAGACTGAAAGGCATAACAGTCCATTGGTAATGGCTTGTTGGTGCACTAAAAACAGTTAAAGGTTTAGAAATATCATTTAGCATGATTTGCCAAAAACCTGATTTGCAATCAAATTTAGAAAAGTATTTAGCATTTTTTGCTAAATTGATCAAAACGTCTTTTCAAGGGATAAAATAGCCATCAAAAATAAGATTTTGGTTTAATTTTTTGTAATTAATAACCATATGGGGTTTACCTCGTGTAATCTTAGAATGGTTTCTTGCCAAAAATGTTGGACTAGAGTGCGGACTATTAGTTGGTTTTATCAGACCTTTGTCGAGCAATTCTGAAATTTGTATTTCAAATTCATCTATATCCTGTTTGGTATAGATCATGGGCTTTATCTAATAGTCTCTTTTGAAGAATGAAGAGTAAGTTCATAGTATCTGGGACTTCATTTCCAAAGCTTCAATGGGTCTTCACTGAAGCTTTCCTGTAAAATCTTATAAAGCCAATGTTTTTCATTAATAACTTTAAGTTCAGAAATATGTGTTATTTCTGGATAAAAATCGTTATGACAAACATGATTATGCTTGGATAAAAGAGGAATATCTATTGATTTTTTATCAATAGTAAAAGTAAGATGATCAGGGAAAACAAAAAATGGTAAATATTTATGTATAAAATTATTTTCTAATAGAATATCTCCATGCATATTAGGAAAATATAATATTTTAGGTATAATAAATTTCCTATCGTTTAAGGCAATAGGAATATTTTTTGCTTTTAGATTAACAATGATTTCTTTACCATCGATACCTACTATTATTATAGGAAGTTTCATAGGATGCCATTTTGTTGAAGGCAAAGCATTGGGTCGACAGCTAGAGATTGTTGCTCCTGTGTCAATCAAAATATTTAAACTATATGGTTTATAGTTTAATAAATAAAAATATCCTTTTATGTAAGTATAATAACGAATTTTTTTAGCAAAAGAAATTATTTCTGGCATGTTTTGTGCAGAGATACGATAATTATTTATATATTGAAACATTTTAATATCTTTATTTCTAGTTTTTCTAGTTGAAGAAGTGTGTGAATTTAACACAGAATTTACAAAATGATAATAGG